GGAAGGTTTGAAAAGAGTTGTAAAAGAAATTAGTGGTATATCCACCTGAGCTGAGTGTCTGTGAGCCTAAACAGTGAAAAGATTGATTGAGAGCAAAAATGGTGCAAGTTCAACTCACCGAGACATTGGAGACGCTTATGTTGAAGAGTGAGATGAACAGGTCCAGGTACTTCACTTCAATGTCATATTTGTTCGGATTTAACACATTCGCTGTAACATTAATGAGTGCGTTCATATTGAGGGTGAAATTGTTCGGGTCGGCCAGCAGGCTCCCCAAATCGTTCCCAAGATTCTCCAGCGCTCCCCCTAAGGGCCTCCCCAGGGCATCCCCGATAGTAGCTCCCAGCCCGCCAAGGCTCGTGGTTAGGTCACTGTTGGTGCCAGTGCCGTTGAAATTTAGCCGTACAATGTCGACCTTCTCAATCTGGATCACGGGAGGCTGTAAGACGGGATAGAGAGGGGGAAGAGGGATAGGAGCATGACATTAAGACAGGCAGACAGACAGAGAGACAGGCAGATATACAGAAATGCTCCTGAAGAGTTGTTAGAGGGGAGGAAGGTTGGCACTTTTTGTTGCTCGCAGGGTCGCTTCAAATACAATGAAAAGGCAAAATTTCATGGGATAAAATGATTCTGATTTCGTTGGTACACTCACCTCAGGCTTATAGGTGCACGCAACAACGAGTATGGCGATTCCCACGCCGGTCATAAGCAGGGAGAGGAGGAGTCCGCACGTTACGGCGATGTTTTGCCACGTGCAACAACTGCGCTTCTGCTGCTTATGATGCTGCAGCTTTGCCTGCTCCATTTCATACGCGTCAAAACCGGCTGCGTCCTCCATGTTCTTCTGCACAAGAAAGAGGGAAAATGAAGGCGGAGAGAGTGAACGAAAGATAGAGATTGACAGTCAAGTACATCAGAAAGGAAAATAAAAATTACGGTTTTGAAGCTCTCAGCGACGCACTTCTAGGCCCTACGTGAGCACGGGCGTCGATCGGGACTAGCGAGCCAATTCAAAAGGCACGGGCATGGATTGCGCACAATTCACTGTCCAGGAACCGTTTTTTAGACGTCTCAAAAGTGGAGAAACGTGCAGCGAATGAGGACAGTCTACTACATGCGTCTGTGACTCTCGTCGCGACTTTCAATAGAACTGGTGATGAAGCGTGGTACCGAGAAGTGTGATACAGCCAGAGCCACAGAGCGAAATGTGGGAGAGCGAAGAGTGGGAGGGCGGAGTTTGCGGGAGCGACGGGTGACAGAGCGATGCGGAAGATAAAGAATGAGACGAGATTGTGCGACGCGTACTTACATTGCGGTTTTAGAAGCTACAGTCAAAACAGGACCATGGCACAACAGAATAGGGACAAAAGGAGACAAATCGTATGAGACTAAAGATGTTGTCTAACGTACGTAAGGCTCTTCAAGGTCGTCAGTTATGTCAGTGTATTTCTCCTCCTGATCCACGCGTGCTGAGTTGGTTCTAACTGGGAGGAAGTCGTTCACTCCCATCGTCTGCCGGACTCTCCGTTCTTTTAGTGCTACAAGAAACAATTATGAGATTGTAACTCGAAAGACGGCGTTGGGATGGAGGAATGAGGAGGTACTGATGCAGAAAAGATTTGATATGTTATTTGGAGAATGGCTGCTAATTTCTAAATGCCACGTCACGAGCTGCGAATAGCAGGGACAGCAAATACAGGAACCGGATATTACATATGATCAGCACTGTTTGAATTTCTGATCACTTTCAGACTGGACAAACCACTCTCAGGGAACCGAATGCGAACTACGTTGCCACGGCAGAGCCTAGGACCACCGAATGTAATCCGAAATGGGTTAGTAGTGTGGCTATTACAGAAGCTAGACACCTACATCTGCGAGCGACTGGTACATCTGGAGTGTTTCCTATCAACTTCTTGCGAAGAATGGTGTTGGTTTTGCTTCTGGCAGCTCGAGAGAGAGATTTGGGGATTCTACCTCACTACCCCACTCAACCGACGTATGCAAGAAGCGAAACTCTTTCACTCTCACGGAACCTCTCTGAACCTGCTGGTGTGATGTACTCGTTTCTGAGGCAAGCAAGCAAGGAACACCTTCATAACGGCTTTCTTCTGTTGTGCGATTCCGGGGTTCGCATGGTTCGAAAAAAGTGGAGCGTTCTTTCTCGCTCTGCGACAACTGGAGGAACTGAAGATCGTGAAGGGCGATTCCAGACGGATGCCAGAGAGAAGGCTTGGCGACCTATGGTCGGGACTCGGTACCTACCAGGGGAAAAGTGGGGGCCACTTTTTGGGGGATGTCAACTGAACACCGATGTTTGCTCCAACGAACATCGTCTTCCACTCGCAGACCTCGTAATCCTTCGCATGAACAGCTAGCCTTGTGGTCAGAGCCGGATGATGGCGTCATCGAACGGCTGACCGACAGAACCAGGGAGTTTGATTGGATGCAAAGGTACCACCAATGAGAAGCACACTACTGAACCTCCTCCATTCGTGTCTGATTTTGGGGGGTAGGAAGGCCACAGGTGGAGACGGAACGCGCGCGGTACTCTCAAAACCTAGGTACGGTTCTGGCAGCCATCGCGACTCGAAACCGTGTCAGTCTAGCCAAACATCAGTCGAGACGCGACCGACAGTGTGGCACCGACATTTCAAACCATTGTGTGGTGTGTAGTGTGGTTGGAGAAATCGTTTGCGGTGTGAAGTGTGGTTTGAGGAATACTATGCTGGTTAGGATGTTGCTACTGCATTTGACCCTAAACTTGAACCCCCTAAAAATATACACTCTAATAATGCGTACATAAATATATACCATTTATAAGCACAGGACATGAAAACAATGCATTGGGCTGGCATTGCTCATTCTTTACGCTTTTGATCTGGTCTTGAAACATTTCTGTCGAAATATCTGGTCCCCCCCAAATGGATCTACCGTGATATTGCACGCGATGAGGAGCTGCAAGAAAGATGCACGGAATGTTTTTGGAAAGTGTCAGTAACAAGGCACATGTGGCATGCTGCTCACAAAATGGCTGGTATTGAACACATAGGCACATGCACCACTTACATTATAAGATGGTGTTGCCATTCCCAGAATCTTCACCTTGCCTCTAGAGTTTATATTGAGCTGTAAGACCAGCATGGGTGACAGAATCCAGGGGAGAAGGGTGAGGCGAGCTCTGCAATGAAAAAACAATGTCATAACATAAAATAACATCCATAACGCTTCAGTATCCCACCTTCACATCCACTTGTCCCTTGCGGAGCGATGTAGTAATGAGGTTGTCCTTGTTACCGGTAGCAATGAGCGGAAGATTCTTGATGGGAAATGGGATGCTCAGTGTTATGTTTCCCTTCTTTGAGAGCTCGAATCCGGGGATCTGGTTGATATGGGAATAGGATAGGGCAGCCAGGCATGTGAGAGCGGAGGTGAGGCACTACGGTTGGAAGAGGTGAAACAGGGAAGAGGGAATACGTTCCACAATGGACATATTGAGGTGTTGGCAACGTGGAAGAGCTTCAGGTTGACATTCAGCGCCTTCACGATCACCTCATGGTTGTTAGGGTTGTTAGGGTTAACCACCAGCGACTTCTTATAAGCAATCAAAAGACGTACCACGTTCTAGGGTTTTTGGCACGTACCGAAGTGTTGGCGATATCAACGTTGAACAGCTTCAGGTTGACATTTAGTGCCTCCACGATCACTTCGTGGTTGTTAGGGTTAACCACCAGCGCCTTGACATCCGCCTTGCCGTTCGCCTTGACTTTGAAGTTGTTGAAATCAAACAGAAGGTTCCCGGAAGTCCCAAAGTTCAGCTGCTTCAGATCCACCTTGAGGATTTCAAACTTCGGGTCCTGCGGCGCACACAATGGGGGGGTGGGTGGGGGGGGGGGGGGGGGGGGGGGGGGGGGGAAGGGAAGGGAGGGAGGAAAAATGGAGAAGGAGAGGGGTAGAGCAGGGGAAGAGAAGGGGAAGAGGTGAGTTAGGTCACCCAGAAAGGATTTGAACGCAAGTGGAGAGCGAGTGGAGAACGCGAGGGGGCGTGAGCGAATTTCAAGGGCCACAAAAGACGGCTACAAACCCTTGGTACTAGCAGTAAGTAAACACGCACCTCGGTGTTGAAGGTGAGGGCGGGGATGAGAATCGCCAGGCCGAACCCCACGAGCGCCAGCGACACCACGAGGCCCGAGGTGAGTGTGATTGGACCCGCACCTCGGAGTTGAGCGTGGAAAATCGACTAAAGATGGCGGGTGGTGGAAGCACACACCTCGGTGTTGAAGGTGAGGGCGAGGATGAGAATCGCCAGGCCGAACCCCACGAGCGCCAGCGACACCACGAGGCCCGTCCACGCGGCCACGTCGCACCACCCGCAGCCTCGTCGCCGCGCGCCCGCGCCCTTCCCCGCGCTGGCCTCCGCCTTCCGCTGCGCCTTCATTAGGTCTGCCGCTGAGGGCTGGATGAGGGGAAGAGAACCGGGGAAAGGAGAAGGGAGGGGGGTGAGAATGGTGGAAAGGGGAAGATAACGGGAAAAGGGTGACCACAATGGGAGAAGAGGGACGAGAACGGGGGAAGGCAGGAACTGGGCAGGAAGAAGGCAGGAAAGGGGTGTCGGGTCAGAACGGAATATGAAAGGCATTTGGGCGGGGGAGGGCCCTAATAGTGACATACGCGCGGGCGGAAAGGGGGGCGCGGGAAGGGGGGCGCGGGAGGCCGCGGAAGAAACGCAAACTTTACGTTGAACGAGCGTTGCGCGGCTCTCATCAGCGCGTGACCTGGAATGCGATGTGCCGACCAAAAAAAAAAAAAAAAAAACGAAAGGCCGTCGAAAAACGCGGCAAGGAGTGCGGAAAGGCCAGACCCCGCGACGCGCACAGCACGCGCTGCCGCGCTTTACGGCACTGGCAGCGCGCGGCACGAACCTCTTTCAGTTTCGCCTTGGCTGCTGTGGGAGATCCCACGTCCGACATTAATATCGACCCCGACCCCGCCGCTCCCGCCGCTCCCCCGCCCCCCCCGAGCTCCTCGTCGTAACCCATGTCGATAGGGTGCCCTCACTGACGTCTCAAAGACGGCTCAACGACGGCTCAACGACGGCTCAACGACGGCTCAACGACGGCTCAACGATGGCTCCCTTGTCTGGTCGACTCGAAATGTTTCTCCAGCTCAGAGAATAAACGCGGCCGCGACTAATAGCAAGTTGATGAATACTTTCATTTTCTATCCGTGCACAACAATCTGGTAAAGACACGATCTTTTCACTTGCTGCAGAGTAGTGCGAAAGTTGAAGGCTCCTGTTGGTTGCTAGGTACTAGCATTTGCAAATGGGGCGCGACGAGCAATCTCTCACGCGAATTCTAGATTGATGAGTGCCAGCTCGTTAGCTCATCCGGTCGCCTGCACATCTGCTCCGTCAAGAGACGAGAGGTAAGTCTACGCGTTTTTCGCTCCTGTGAGAAGTAGCGTCTAGCCGACCGACGGAAAGTCGACACTTGTGGTTGGTCGGCTCGTTTCGTGCAGGTGTGGCGGATTGGATTTGGCGAGGGGTGCAACAGGGGGGCAACGACGGCGAGGCACATACCAATGATGAGAAAATTTGAGCCACGGGCCGAACCAAGTTACACTGCGGTGAAGTTCGGGAAGAAAAGATTTGGGGAGACGCAGGCCCGAGAGGCGACTCTGGTATGGTGGGGGTTTTTGCGTAAGGTGGGAGGTTGGGGAAGGGAGGCTTGGTTCGGCCGGGTTTGAGAATCTGGTTCGAGTCCTGGTCCGGATTGGGGCAGACTAGGTAGCCTTGTTTTGAATGGTCTCCGCGACGCGGATGCTGAAAATGGAAGAAATTCCATGAGTGGTTGGGCGAAGTCACGAGATGTCATGAGCGTTTGGCGAAAAAAGGCAGCTATAGGGGCTAGCGATTTGGCGAATGGACGAAGGAGAAGTAATGGGTCGTTGCGATTGCCTGCGAAGAAAGGCGGGTCAAATCGGTTGGCGAGGGGGAGCCTTACCCCAAGCTGGCCTGTGCACACGGCCCGAGCACGTCCGATAAATCGGGGCCGAAGCGACTGGAGGATCTGGTTCGGCGAACCTGTAGTTTTGGGCGACGCAAACTCAAGCGGTGGCTGACGGCGGAGGACATAGTCGCATCTCGATTATTCCAGTCGCAGGCCGATCGCAGCAAGTCGGTGGAGCGATGTGGGCCGGGTGACTTCTGCGAAGGTCCCAATCACCGTAACCCGTTAGACAGCTTCTCTATAGGGATCTACCATTACATCTAGAAAAGACAGCAAGTATAACTCGATTATTTAATGCTAAATATAGGAAAGGTTTTCATGGATTTCGTGTTGTGTCATTTGTGGACACACAGGAACTCTAAACTCGATGAAACTGACGTATATATCCGGCCATTTTCAGGTACATGCCGCACTGTAGGGAAAGGCTTCTCAGGTGCATGCTATCGCGTCGTGATTCTCCCCTTGTTGCCACTGTTTGTACCCATCCGCCACTAAAAACACTGTTCTGTCAGGGGATGCAACCCACGCGACTTACACCAACAGGCCCAGCTCTCGCACGAACTCGCCACACCAGTCACACCAGTCGCAGCCTTCCCCAAGGAAGGGGTGCGTGCGCAAAATCTGTGCGCAAGTCCCTTCCCCAACTCCCCCCGCTTCCCTCCAGCAAGCGCTGACTGGCCGAAACCACCGACACTTCACTTCTGCACCAAAGGAACAGAGAACAGGCGGAAACCCTGATCCTGCACATCCGGGATCGATAGGTATGAATGTTTATAAGAAGATTCGCTGTCACATAGAAATTGTCAAGGACTCATAAACAAAACAAAAAAACAAAAGTGTTTAGGGTTTCACCCTAAACACTTTTGAGAATCCCAGTCAAACAAAAGTGTTTAGGGTTGCAACTGAGATTGATATGGTACGGAAGAGGCTAGCAAAGCTGCCCCACCGACGATCACAATCCGAGTTGCATTCACGAGGCACTTAGCACCACACCCTGAAGCACGCAAAACGCACGTATGTGTCAAATGTTGTAGCCTATAGTGAGGTTTGTCCTAGAGGACAGGCAGTTTGAGCTGTTAGAATCTAGCAGCAGGAATGTGTGAACTAGCAGGATGCAGGAGTACAAGTAGTAAACCCTAACTAGGTTGTACCCCATATGGGCTACCCCACTACAGCCTAGACAATATGCAGCACATATAGTTTGACACACCCCCATAGGCAAAGTGGGGGAGAACAAGGGGTCACACGACCAGTCAAGAGAAGCAAAACAAGCTCAGGGTGGATCACAACGTCACCACGCATTCTGAGCACAAGCAAAGGGCCACTGGGCCAGTTCACATGCAGAGATATATATGCAGCAATAACAGTACAGTGATGGCTACCTAGCAAGAGCCAGCATGCATATATATATATATAGATCACAGTACAAGCAGAGACTACAGCAAGTGTGGAAACGTAGGCACAAGGCCTAACAGAGTACAAAAGCGCTGATGATCACCAGACGGAAGTGCCTTGGTGAATATGTCAGCAGTGTTGGCCCGAGTGGCCACGTGGCGAAGACGAAGCTGGCCTCGCTGCTGCAACTCTCGAGCCAGAAAGTACCGCAGAGCAATGTGCTTCGTTCTGTGCTCCAGTCTGTGCTCCTCACACAAGGCAATGGCGGCCTTGTTGTCAACGTACAGCACTGGAGGAGAACGAGGCTGCTCTCCCAAGTCAGTCAGCAGGTAGGTGAGCCAGCGTAACTCCTGTGCAGCCATGGCGGTGGCGTAGATCTCAGCCTCACAACTGGAGCCGAGAACTGAAGTCGAGCGTGTAGAACGCCACGAAACTGAACCAGAGCCAAGGCTGAAGGTGTAACCCTGTGACGACCGCTGAGTAGCCAGGTCGTCAACCCAAGAAGCGTCTGAGTGCCCAGTGAGGACAACTGGGCTCGTCCCTCCAAGCACTAGCCCCATGCCTGATGTGCTGCACAAGTAACGCAGTACCCTCTTAGCAGCAGCCATGTGCTCAGGTCGGTGCCGACCAGGATCCACTTAGCGAGCCAGGAGACCAAGAGGGTACGCGAGGTCAGGTCGAGTGCAAGTCATCAGGTACATGAGGTAGCCCACTAGCTCTGGGTAAGGACCACTCGGCTCTACGGACTCGTCCGAAGGTGGAGCTGAGAGCGTGTGACCTGTAGCCAGAGGAGTGGCCTGTGCTGAAGACCAGGTGAAGCCGAAGCGCTGAAGGACCTGCTGCACCATGTGTGACTGAGTCAAGGTGATGGTGCGACGTGCTCTGTCTCGGGTGATCTGCAAGCCAAGGTAGCTGCGCAGCTCACCCAAGTCTGTGCACGTGTGTCTCTTCTGCAGCTCCGACTTCACGTGGGTGAGAGCCTCAGTGTCAGCAGTGGCAAAAACCAAGTCGTCGACATACACGAGGATGTAGAACGGCGGCAGGGAAGTGTCGGTGCGCAGAAACAGCGACGGGTCAGCAGTAGAAGGCGCAAACCCAAGAGCCGCAAGCGTAGTCCTCAGTGTGTCGTGCCACTCACGTGGCGCCTGGCGGAGACCGTAGACCGGCCGCCGGAGGCTCCACTGGGTACCAGGAGGGAACGACCCAGTGAAGCCCGGGGGGCGGCGCAGCCAGATCTCCTCGTGCAGGCTGCCCTGCAGGAAAGCTGTGCTGAAGTCAAGAGAGTGAAGCTCGTAGTCACGGTGAGCAGCAACGTGCAGCAGCACCCGAAGAGTGGTCATCTTCGGGGTGGGGGAGAAGGTCTGGAAGAAGTCAACTCCCTCTCGCTGACTGAAGCCTCGAGCCACGTAACGCGCCTTGAAGACAGGCGGAGAACTCGGCGGCCGCTTCACCCTGAAAATCCACATGCCACTGACGATGTTCGCCCCAGGTGGGGGAACCTCGTCAACGTAGGTGCCTGTGGACTTCCAGGAAGCCATCTCTGCGTCCATGGCTGCCTGCCACTGAGAGGAGTAGGGACCCTCTATCGCCTCTGCGTAAGAGCGCGGAGTCGGGATGTCTGGTGCATCCGGGTCTCCCTCAGGGGCAAGTAGCGAGGACACAAGATGAGGTAAAGCAGCAGCAAGACACTGGAACTCCTCCTGCCTGTCCTCAAGGACGTCCGTGCTAAGAGCACACTCACCCCCGACGGACGGAGGACAGACAGACTCAGACTCAGTAACAAGACTGGCAGTGAAGTCTAGACGACAGGCAGCAGCAAAGTCAACAAGCTCAGCGACAAGAGCAGACGCAGCAGCAGACTCAAACGACGGGTCAGTGACAACTGTGGCTAGTAGACGCGTGACAGTAGGGTGCTGAGCACGAAACCGGTCAGACGCAGGGTCCGGAACGTGAGGCAAAGAGGACGCAGGAGGAGACGGCAGAGGAACAGGCTGCGGAACAGAGGAAGGACGACGGACTACGAGGTGTGCGCTGGGGACAGCCGGCGGACGCGAACGAGGAACACGAGGACCGGTACGACCAGGACGAGCAGGCGAGACAGGACGCGACGCAGGCTCACGACGCACAGCAGGACTACCAGTCAGCTCAGCGTAAGGAGAAGGAGCAGGCAGCGGCGAGCCAGTCTGTAACGGAAGACCAGTAGACGACGGAAGAGTAAGAACCTGACGAAGAACAGAGGCAGACGGCGGCAGAGACGACGGAGACGGCGGAGCGAAGAACAGTCGTGTCGGCGCAGCTGCACCAGAACCAGCAGCTCCAGCAGCTCCAGTGCCTCCAGCAGCTCCAGTACCTCCAGCAGCTCCAGTACCTCCAGCAGCTCCAGAAGCTCCAGGCCCAGAGCCGACACCTCGAGTCCCAGGGTCTCCAACCTCTGTGTCTCCAGCAGCAGCACCCCCAGAACCAGCACCTCCAGTCCCAGGGTCTCCAACCGCAGGGTCTCCAGCAGTAGCACCCCCAGAACCAGCACCTCCAGCTCCAGGGTCTCCAACCTCAGTGTCTCCAGCAGCAGCACCCCCAGAGCCAGCACCTCCAGTCCCAGGGTCTCCAGCCTCAGTGTCTCCAGTACGAGCACC